GCCCCTATATATATATATATATATATATATATATATATATATATATATAAAGTAAAACTCACAAAGATGAGTTGATATCCTAAGAAGTGAGTATTCTTCAATTCTTGAATTATGGTTGAGTTTGTGTATCCCACATTGATGTAAATATGAAATATTTACAAATATGCATGGTGCGTTTTTTAGAGGGAGATTTGAGATGCTTTTGTGGCAACTCATGACGTTGGCTCCTCTTGGTCAATCCTCTAAGCTCACATTGTTGGCTCATTTTGGTCAACCCTCCAAACTCATGAGTTTGCTCATTTTGGCCAACCTCATTTTAAAAAAGTGAGTATTCTTCATTTCTTGAATTGTGGTTGAGTTTGTGTATTCCATGTTGACGGAGATATGAAATATTGACAATGAATGGTAGATATTTCAAAGGGAGATTTGAGATACTTTTGTGGCAACTCATTAGGTTGGCTCCTCTTGATCAATCCTCTAAACTCACGTTGTTGACTCATCTTGGCCGACTCTCCGAACTCATGGGTTTGTTCATTTTGGCCAACCTCATTTTAGCCACACAAAAAAAAGATAATCATACAAAATAAAAAAAAATCTTTATCTTTGTATATATTAAAATAAACTGCACATATATTAAGTAAAACCCACAAAGATGAAGTGACATCTTAAGAAGTGAGTATACTTTATTTTTTGGATTGTGGTTAAGTTCGTGTCTCCCACATTGATGGATATATAAAATATTTACAATAAATGGTGGGGTATTTTAAAGGAAGATTTGAGATGTTTTTGTGGCAACTCATGAGGTTGGCTCATTTTGGCCGATCCTCTGAATTCATAAGTTTGTTCATTTTGGCCGACCTGATTTTAGCAACAAAAAAAAAAATCTTCATTTTTAATAAACCGCACAAAGAATGAAGTGATATTAAGTGTAGAATAAAGAGGTATTGAGCTAACATTGTGAGAATGGAGTATTCTCAAATGATGAACTATTGTTGAGCTTTAGATATCTCACTTGGTGAGAAATTGAAAGAATGGAATAGATATATATATATATATATATATATATATATATATATATATGAATGAAGAATGAGATGACAATCGTGTCAACTAATAAAGTCTGATTCATAGGGTTGTCTTTTTTTTATGAGATGACGATCTTATGTTAAAAGAACAATCAAATATTGTAAGGTGACATTAGAAGATTTGAGTATTCTCAAATTTTGAAATGTGGTGTGTTTTGATTATTCCATGTTGATAGGAAGATGATAAACTGGAAAAGAAATATGTCTTTGAATCTATAATTTGTTGGTTGGAATTAAAACCAATTTCAACTAAACGATAAAAAATACAGTTATGAAAGACCATGGTTGAAATCTATTGAAGCCAATCAAATGGTAAAACTTATAGTTATGAAATATTTTTCTACATATATATACAAAAGTATGAAAAATGTCTAGCCATGGTTGAAATCAGAGCCAACCAGATGGCAAAACCAATTGGTAATTCTTATATTTATCTTTATACCTTTATATATCTTAGAGTAAAACATACAATGAATGATGTGACATTATCATGAGTGAGTATTCTTCATTTCTTGAACTGTGGGTGAGTTCTGTATATCCCATATTAGTGGAGATATGAAAGATTTACAATGAATGGTGAGTATATGAAGGGAGGTTGAGATGTCTTTGTGGAAACTCATTGGATTGGCTGCTCTTAACCGATCCTTTAAACTCACGTTATTGGCTTATTTTGACCGACCCTCCGAGCTCATAGGTAGACTTATTTTAACCAACTCTCTTTTAACAAAAAAAATGTTAACCACACAAAAAAAAAAAAAAAAAAACCTTTATTTGATTTAAGTATTTTAAACTATTGAAGTACGATGCGATTTTGGTCATCGACATTCCACAGCTAGTGAAATGAAGCATGTAGAGGCTCCATTTACCACAACCCCGTCTCACCGGCCATTTGGAATTCCACGTCATCAGGCTCCAAAAGCTCACTAACGTGGCCCTCTAAGTATCCACTTCTTTGTCTCTACCCCCTTCCCCTATAAAACCCTTCATCACCACCACCACTCCTCCTCCTCCCTCAAATCTTTCTGTAATCACTAATGGCTGCCACTTCCGTCTTCATGGCAACTCCGTTCACACGTCTCTCCGCCACCCAACTTCCTTCCTTCCACAAGAATTCTGCCTTCTCCGTCAGATGCATGTCGTCTCAGCTACCAAAYGACGCCGAAACCAAATCCAAAACACCACCGCCACCTKCTCCCAAGGTCAGCACCAAATTCACTGACGTCTTGGCGTTCAGTGGACCAGCACCGGAAAGGATCAACGGAAGATTGGCGATGATAGGGTTTGTGGCGACAATGGCGGTGGAGCTGAGCAGTGGTCAAGATGTGTTCACACAGATCTCCAACGGTGGCGTGGCGGTGTTTGTGGTGACGAGCGTGGTGTTGTCAGTGGCGTCGTTGGTGCCGTTGTTGAAAGGGGTTAGCGTCCAGTCGAAGTCGAAGGGGATAATGACGTCGGATGCGGAGCTGTGGAATGGCCGGTTTGCGATGTTGGGTCTGGTGGGTTTGGCTTTTACGGAACTAGTTAAAGGCAGTCCCCTTGTGTAATCTTTTTATAGTTATTAATCCAAAAATATTAAATTGCATTTTTCTTATTAACCTGGATATCCAACTCGCTATGCGAACCGACTAATATCAAAGCGAAATTTACAGATAGTCCGGAATCACCGCATTTGAACCTCTATAGTCACAAGGGGATTTTTATTCCTCCTTGGATTTGAACTTGTGATCTTCTTTGGAGTCAAGCTCAAACCAATATGGCACCATCCTTATATTAAATTGTTTATCGCATCAACAATAATTAACTTGTCAAACTGTCAACACGTAGATTAATATGATTGAAATTGGCTTAGACGTAGTGCAATCCAACCTGCAAACGTCACTAATATATTTTTAATCGACTTTATAATCGTGAGTGGAGTGGATTCAAAAAGGTAACTCGTGCGATCGTCCTGGGCAACAACCACCGAAGGGGTAACAAAGGTGTGTAAGAGCCTAGGAGGGGTTTCAACAAAAAAATTGAGAGGGAACATTGAGAAGATAGCGACACCCGACACAGAGTTGTAGAGTGGCAACTGGGTTGCTGAAGTTCCGGTGTGGCTGAGACGCCATTGAACATCGAGGCCAACGATGGGCAGTGGAGACGGATTGACGGTGGATACTTTAGGTGTCGGCATAAGATGATGTATTTGTATTTGTGGTGGAGAAACGATGAGGTGTCTTGGAAGAATCGATATAGGATATAGGATACAGGAGCTATAATTAAAACATGTCGTCTCAATCGATATCTTTTTAGTAAAATTTTCACATATTTTTTAGTTGTTTTATTTTTAAGTTTTTATAGATGTGGTTTAATTTAGGGGTCGTTTACCAAATGTTTATAGGCAAGAGTCATCACTCTAATTTACTTTATGAGGTAACATTATTGGCCATGAAAATGAATTTAACAGTAAGCGTTTATAAGCTGATAAGTTTATAAACAACTTATACCGGTGTCAAACTAGTAATAAGGAGTTTTTGAAGAAGTTAAATTCTTTTAGCTTATGATAAGTTGATAAGTGCTTTTATAAAAAAACATAAGTTTTTTCAAATAAGAAATCCCAAACACCCCTTTACATAGGGGTGCTCAAAAACTGGACCAACGCGATCAACCCAACCGAACGCGAAATAACCCAACCCTAAGCAACTCGATGTCTAATCGAGTTGTAAAGTTGTCAAACCGTAGATATTGGGTTGATATTTAGTTATTATTATTTGAACCCAACTCAACCCGATGAATCCGATATCTTTTTATTTTTTGGATTTAATATGATTGTTGAATTTCTATTAATATATATATCAGACAATTACCTTATCATATATGCTTTTCATATACACATATTTTCAATCTATTCACATCTCTATATAACTCATTCGTCTATATGTTCAGTAACTGTGAACATATATATGTAAATTGAGAAAATTAACTGAATGTGATACACGTAAGAAATATAAATAAGTTGTATCAAATGATGGATGATGAAAAATAAATTATAAGTAAAGAAACATATTCAAGGTTAGAAGAAAATTTTTAATGTACCAAACTATCAACCCGACCGCACTTTAGTTTGGGTTGAATTGGTTTAAGATATTTCAAACCATAAACATTATGTTGAATTGTTCAAATGTCTTCGACTCAATCAATCCGACCCGACCCGACTCGACTCATAAACACCCATGCATCAAAGAAAGAAATGAGAGTAGAAGGTCCCACCATCGTCCAAACTTTTTGAATGCAACCATGTAGAGGCTCCATTCACCACAATCTCGTCTCAGCGGCCAATTGGAAAGCCACGTGATCATCCCTCAAATGTCACTAACGTGGCCCTTCAAGGATCCACTCCATTGTCTTCACCCCTCCTCTATAAAACCCACCACCAAACCCTCCTTCTTCCTCACTACCATCTTCATCACTTCTCTCACAATTTCAATCTTCAACAACTCTATAATTGATCATGGCTGCCCCTTCAATCTTCATGGCAACTCCCCTCTCCGGTACTCAACTTCCTTCCTTCAAGAGGCATTCCGCCTTCTCCGTCAAGTGTATGTCGTCTCAGCTACCAAACGACGGTAAAACCGCCGGATCCAGTTCCAAAACACCAGAATCACCACCAACGCCTATGGCTACTCCTCCTCCTCCGCCACGTGCTCCCAAGGTGAGCACCAAATTCTCTGACGTCTTGGCGTTCAGTGGACCAGCACCGGAAAGGATCAATGGAAGGTTGGCGATGATAGGATTTGTGTCGGCGATGGCGGTGGAATTGAGCAGCGGTCAAGATGTGTTGACTCAGATCTCCAACGGCGGAGTAGTGGTGTTTGTAGGGACGAGCGTGGTGTTGTCGCTGGCGTCGTTGGTGCCGTTGTTTAAAGGGGTTAGCGTGCAGTCGAAGTCGAAGGGGATAATGAGTTCCGATGCGGAGCTGTGGAATGGGCGGGTTGCGATGTTGGGTTTGGTGGCTCTGGCTGTTACTGAATATGTGAAAGGCAGTGCTCTTGTGTAATCTTTATATAAAACCAAAATATTAAATTGAATTACATTTTTGTTTACGGTTTATCTACGGGGTTTTGGGATTGCTTATAAAAACAATTTATTGACTTACTTCGGTGTAATACCGGTAATAAGTATTTTTGAGTATTTGGATAAATAACTTATACCGGTGCCAAACTGTTATAAGTTTTTAAAGAAGTTAAATCATTCTAACTTATAATAACTTGATAAGTGCTTTTGTAGAAAAACATAAGTTGTATCAAATAAGCAATCTCAAACACCCCTAAACATGTTTGTAAAGTGGAGCTCAAATGAGAACCAGTTTGTTTTATTGAAATACGAGAATACTCTTAAGCTATAATCATATAATATATGATATTAAATTAGAACGACTTTTTGGTGTGAATTCAGTAGAGGGTCATGTCGTCCATACATCACAAGTTCTCATCAAGTTCTCTTATGTGAATTTTTTGATCATTTACCAATATTTTATTTTAATTTCAAAGCTACAATATGTGAATCAAACAGATAAATTCCAATTTCTTAACATATTCAATTCAATGTTTGCCAACCAAACAACAATAGGTGGTTAAATATGACAATATTTCATTCAAATTCCTTCAAACTATAATTTCTTTAACGAATTTCATTCCATCCAAAAACATTTTGCGAACAAACGTCATCTGAGGTTTTCTTCTTCTTGCTCAAAATTTTTATCTTTAGCGCTGGAGTTTCAATGTTGGAGCTAGGGTTGTTCATTGGTTGTCATCCGTTGGATATGAATCATCCATTAGATGTTGGATTTTTCCAACCGGTCGAATCCGATTAATAACTGATCCAATATAATCCAACGGATGTTTTGATCATTTTGGTTCCATCCACTAGATATTTTTATTGGATATCCGTTGGATCATATTAGATTCTTGTAATGTTAATCGGATTGGATCCATCCAAACATCCAATGGATGTCGAATCGGATTCATCAGATGTTCTACTTCCAGTTCACATAATATTCCAACTCACATAATCTACACTGAGTTTAAGAGATTTTCTACATATTTGGAGATTTCCACATATTGAACAAGTAGTAATGAGTTTATAGCATACATCAAACACAAAGTACACATTGAATAACAAGTAACGAGGTCTTCTCCATATTTCGAGATTTTCACAAAAAGGATGGCAAATGAACATCAAGTAACGATATTAAAAGTAGGTCTAAGCAAATTACTTACTGAGCTTGAAGTAGAATCCGTGTTTGAGATTGAAAATCAAAGAGCAAGTCATGGTGGAGCTGTGGAAACCAAAGATGAGAGAGGAGTGGTGAGACAATTGGAAATCGAAGTCTGCTAGTGCTAGGGTTTTGAAATCGAAGCTGCTTCTAATTCGGTGTGGAGCGTGGGCCATAAGGAGTGGAAGATGGGAGCCGGTTTGAATGAAGTGAGGAGATGAGTTAAGGTTTTGTAAAATCGTAATAAATCTCTCGTCGTAGATCGGTTTGAGGAGTGTAATATGTCTCTGGAACCTTTGAGATGTCCTCTACAAACTTTATGTTTTCAGGGAAAGAACTGATTCGAACTGTAAATAGGTCAAAAATGGAGTTTAATAGGACGACTCTGTTTTATAACGGGATTCAGGATTGAGAAAATAGTCTTCAAATATTCACATAAAATTGGTTTTAAATCCTTTGGGGTGATTCTTGACGAGTTGGAAAGTTTAGAGGGTTGTCTAGATATTTTGTATAGAGTTCTTTCTTCGATTTGGTGATTACACATGGTTTATCTGGGTAGCAAGAAGATTATGCAAGTTGGAAGAAAAATAGGTTTAACATAACCTAACAATGTGAGTTTCAAGTTACTCTGTGAAAACTTTTATGAAGGGATTGAGAACATAGTCTTTATTATGGAATATTCGGTTGATGATGTAACAATCTATTCAAGTTGACTCAATCAACCAAGGAAATTTCGTATATTTATTTTTATCATCATCTATCAAATACCTTATTTTGACGGTTTTTTCTGATATTATTCAAAAATATGTAAATAAGGATTAAAACAAGTTTTGGATTCAAAGAAGAGCCCAAGCCCAATCTTTCATTTGTACACACCACACACTAGGGGTAGGGATGCCCAAACCGGTCCGGGACCGGTTATAGGACCAAAATCTGGGAGCGGTTATGGATTTCAGGTGTTTCACGGGACCGAGACCGGTTATGGCCCGGCCCGATTTTTCAAAAATTTAGTTTTTTTTTTTAAATGTAGCCACTAATTTAAAAAAAAAACTAAGTGTTTATGACCCTTTTTTGGCCCTTTTTTTGTCTTCTAAACACTATATATGAGTGTCTTGGTTGAGAGGTTTACATACCAACTTCTCGATTAGCAAAAAACGCAAAAAAACTTTCACAATTCTTGGTTTTTCGCTATATTTTGTAAGACAATTTAATTTTAATTATAATAAAACATATTTTTAAAGTGTATTTGAGTGACACAATTACAAATTTTATAATGTATTAAAAATATATATCATTAAAAATTATTATTTTTTAATGATTGGGACCGGTTAGGACCGGAACCGGTTACTGCAAAGCTTAACCAGGATCACCTTTTTCTACCAGGACCGGTTTTGGCCATCCCTACTACACACCATGACACCAAGTCCAAACGTTCCATGATTTTCCATATTTGGGTTTGATCAATTTTGTAAAATAAAAAATGAGTTTGTATATAAACACTGTCTTATTTTTCACTTTCTTACCGATGTGGGATGAATCACATAAGGAGTTTCAACGTGCAATGGCAACCCGTTGTCCAACGTCTCATGTAGGGACCGTTGGAAGGTAGTGAAGGGAGACAGCGTATTCATAACTGTTGCTTTCATTAGGGTTAAAGATAGAAAACGTTTAACAAAGACCTAAAATACCCTCACGTAAAGATGACTAACGGCCTGTAGTTGGACATTGTTAGTGATGAGGACTAGTTCTGTAACAAAGTGACCGTTCATGGACAAATTTGTAATAAACGAATTGAATGTGCAAGAAAGAATGTTCATATATATATATATATATATAGAGGAGTGATCAAATAAAAACCGCCCTCATTTATGTAAACCGTGCAAACCACCTTCATCCGTCGATTTCATTGTTTAATCTTATGAAATTTTTTCATGAAATTGTTTAATCTTGTGAAATTGTTTCATATAATACTTTTTTTGATCAAGTTGTTTCATATATGGTTGTGAAATTGTTTCATATAATACTTAATGAAACTGTTTCATGTATTTCTCTAAAATTAATGAAACTGTTTCATGTATTTCTCTAAAAATTAAAATAATGAAGATGATAATATCTATGATTAACACCCTCCACAATAAAAATGATTAAACAAGCTCTCATAATTACAAAAAAATGAACAAAATGAAAAATTATGATTGGTTGAATGAGGTTTGCACGGTTTGTACAAATTGAGTGGTTTGCATTTGATCGCTCCCCTATATATATATATATATATATATATATATATATATATATCGAGTATATAAAATAGACAGATATAATATGACGAATCAAAACTTGTCTCAAGAACATTATATCAAAGCATTTTCTAAAGAATATTTCACAAATTATGCCAAAATATTATTCGAATATTTTATACGAGGTAGGTAATAAATAATTTTTGCGACTGTAAAACTCACACACTACTCATATTTGGTGAATCTTGAACCCCAGATCTCCAAGGAGATTAGGAATCTACTAGTAACGCAAATAACACTAATGACCCTTTAATATGATGATAGATTTTATCAAGGGAAATTTATAAAAATAACCGTTTTACACAACCCTTTGTTACAAAATAACCACATTTTAGAGGTTTTGCCAAAATAACCACTCGGATCGCTCCCGGGGCGATCCGTACATAATGGGGGCGATCCCCTTAAAAAAAATTCTCAAAAGTCGAGATTACTGTTCACCTCGTTGACCGTGTTTGACCTCGCTCGAGGGCGATCCGTACTATTCACGGGGGGCGATCCGTACTGTTCACCCGTGAATTTTTTTTTTTTTTGAATTTTTTTTAAAATTGAAGTTGTATTTTTTTAACTTTTTTAAAACCAAATTTCATGAGAAAAAGATTTAAAAATAAATCTTTATAATTATGGAGACGCAAAAATTAATTTTCATGGGAAATCAGATATAATATCTGATTGACGAAATTTGAACTCTATTTTTATACAACAATTAAGGGGTGTTTTTAATAAAAATGGAAAAATACATAAAGTGTGTCTTTTTACATATTTAATTTTAAATTTCGCAATTTACCGGGGGCGATCCGGGTCGATCCGGGTAAAAAAAAATTTTGATTTTTTTTTCACTATAAATACCAACCTCCTAATTCATAATTTTTCACAYATTCCCTTCCATTTCTTTTCTCATATATTTTACTCTCACAACCCTTAACCCATTAAACACAATAAACCATCATAACCTTTAACCCACTAAACACAATCAACCATCACAAAACATGAAATCACGTGAAAGTGATAATGTTTGTGTGTATCTTATACGTAAATCACGGTACAAAAATTGAAACTCCGTATTTTTATACGTAAATATGTGTACGGGTTTAACCCCATACGCATATTTACGTACGTATTTATACGTAAATATGCGTACGGGTTTAAACCCATACGTATATTTACGTACGTATTTA